TCTCTCTCGCGCCTGAGTCAGAAGATTGTGGGTTCAAGCCCCCGCGTCAGGACTTGGAATCGCACGGTCTAAGCTGGTGGTGGGGTGGGGGTGGTGGGGTGGGGGTGGTGGGGTGGTGGGGTGGTGGGGGTGGGGTGGGGTGGTGGGGTGGGGGTGGTGGGGTGGGGGTGGTGGGCTTGGGGGCTGGAGGGGTGGGGGCCGTGGGATGGTGAGGGATTCCCGGAGCCTCCCGGGTGGCCCCTGCCCGTCCTCCCGCAGGAAACATGGACGCTTTAGTCCACCGTCTACCCGTGTGGGAGAGGGAGGAGAAGGGGGGGGGGGGGGGGGTTGCCTCCCTCCCTCCCTCGCCTCCTTCGAGACCCATCTCAAGACCCCTCCTCTTCGACCGCGCCTTCGGTCACCCTCCTAACCCCCCCCCACCCCACCCCACCCCCCCCCACTCCCCTGCCCCCCTCCACCCCCTCCTCATTCCCAAATCCCTGACCGTCCAGCTCCCTCGGGACGTCCTCCCGACGCGAAAGACGTCACGTGTTGTCGATGAAAATTAATTTAAAAAAATTAATAATGTGGTCACTCCATCCACGACCGTTTGTGGGACACTGTTGCGCTGTCTACGCTTTACAATATATCCTGTGAAGGGCTTTGAGACGTGTTCGCGACGTGACGAGGCTTCATATCGAATGCCAGGATTATTATTATTATTATTATTATTATTATTATTATTATTATTATTATTATTATTATCATTATTATTATTATTATTATTATTATTATTATTATTACTATTATTATTATTCCTATGTTGTTCTTTGGGCTTATATGTCGATTACAAATTATTCTTAGTATTAATTCAATAGGTTATGAGTTTATTATTATTATTATTATTATGATTATTAAATCCTGTGAAGCACTTTGAAATGTTTTCATGTGATAAATCAAATTCACACCAACAACACACTCACACCAAATGCACACACCCACTCACACTCACACTCGCACACGCACTCACACCCACACACACACACACACCCACACACATGCACACGCACACTCAGACCCACACGCACACTCAAAACCACGCACGCACTCACACCCATGCACACGCACACGCACACACAGACCCATTGCACACACTCACACCCCTCACTCACACCCAACATACACACACACACACACACACACACGTACACACCCCCCCAACACACACACCCAACATATACACACCCAATACACACAAAACACACACACACACATAACTCTCACATGCACATGACTCGCGCATCCAACAAGACACACTCAACCAACACACACTCACGCACCCACACATGCATTCCCCCCTCCCAACACACGCACACACACATGCACACCCCCAACACACACACCCAACATATACACACCCAACACACACAAAACACACACACACACACCCCCAACACACACCCAACATATACACACCCAACACATACACACACACACACACATGCACATGACTCGCGCATCCAACAAGACACACTCAACCAACACACACTCACGCACCCACACATGCATTCCCCCCTCCCAACACACACACACACACACACACACCCCAACACACACCCAACATATACACACCCAACACACACAAAACACACACACACACCCCCAACACACACCCAACATATACAAACCCAACACACACAAAACACACACACACACCCCCCCAACACACACCCAACATATACACACCCAACACACACACACACACACACACATGCACACCCCCAACGCACACACCCAACATATACACACCCAACACACACACACACACACACACATGCACACCCCCAACGCACACACCCAACATATACACACCCAACACACACAGAACACACACACACACACCCCCAACACACACCCAACATATACACACCCAACACACACAGAACACACACACACCACACTTCAACAATATATATTACTGTTAATATTACGGTGTGTTTTGTCGTTACATTGGCTCTCAGCGATTGCGGGGCCTGTGAGCACCGATAACAAATCAGATTTAGTCCCCGATGCCTCTCCCGATCGGGAGGACCTCCCGAGGCTCCGGGGCTGTGCCGAGGCTGACGTGTTATTCCGTGTTGCCATCGATCGATTGATCGATGACGAGCCCTTTGCCGTGAGCAACTTGTCGTTACTCTGTTTAACAGACGGAGCTGCTGTTGGCAGTCGGCAGAGGCTTCACCTGAGGACCGAAGTTCAGACTCGCTTGTCGATCCATCTCCCGTGTCCGGGGCGTCTGGTCCGGAGGCCGTTGGGTGTCTCCTGTCTCGCCTCCACGCGCTCTCCTCACGTGACTTTCTCCGGTTTCCTTCGCGGAGCGCTCCAGCCCTCACCGCGTCTCAATAATAATAATAATAATAATAATAATAATAATAATACCAATAACAATCCTCGCATTTGATGCAGCGCCTTATCACGTCGTTGAGAAGTCTCGAAACCCTTCACAATGTATTGTCGAGGGGATTGACTGTGTATTTTGTTGGGGGCGAAACGGTGAAAGCGTTGTTGGTGTGGGAAGGTGACCCCCTGCGTGCGTAGGGTGGGGGGGGAGTGTATGTGTGTGTGTGTGTTTGTCAGTGTGGGTGCGTGTGTGTGTGTTCAGGTGATGAGATGTCGTAACAGGACCCTGTGTGTGGGTGTGTGTATGTGTATGTGTCTGTGTGTGTCTGTTTGTGTATCTGTGTGTGTGTCTGTGCGTGTGTCCCTCAGGTGATGAGCTGTAGTAACATGACCCTGTGTGTGTGTGCGTGTGTGTATGTGTCTGTGTGTGTGTCTGTGTGTGTCTGTGTGTGTGTGTGTGCGTCTCTCGGGTGATGAGCTGTAGTAACATGACCCTGTGTGTGTGTGTGTGTGTCTGTGTGAGTGTCTGTGTGTGCATGTGTGTGTGTGTGTGTGTGTGTCCCTCAGGTGATGATGAGCTGCAGTAACATGACCCTGTGTGTGTGTGTGTGTCTGTGTGAGTGTCTGTGTGTGCATGTGTGTGTGTGTGTGTGCGTCCCTCAGGTGATGATGAGCTGCAGTAACATGACCCTGTGCGTGTGTGTTTGTGTGAGTGTCTGTGTGTGCATGTGTGTGTGTGTGTGTGTGTGTGTGTGCGTCCCTCAGGTGATGATGAGCTGCAGTAACATGACCCTGTGTGTGTGTGTGTGTGTGTGTGTGTGTCCCTCAGGTGATGACCCCGGATAGATCATGTCTGAGGTTCAGGGCACTATCGAGTTTGCGGTGGAGTTACACAAGTTCTACAATGTGGACCTGTTCCAGCGAGGGTGAGTGTCCATCACTGAGCCACTCTCTCACACTCGCTCTCTCTCTCTCTCTGTCTCTCTCTCTCTCACACTCGCTCTCTCTCTCTCTCTGTCTCGCTCTCACACTCGCTCTCTGTCTCTGTCTCTGTCTCTCTCTGTCTCGCTCTCACACTCGCTCTCTGTCTCTGTCTCTCTCTCTGTCTCGCTCTCGCTCTCTCTCACACTCTCTGTCTCACACACACTCTTTTGGTCTCTCGCTCACACTCTGTCTCTCTCTGTCTCGCTCTCTCTCTCTGTCTCTCTCTCTCTCTCACTCTCTCTCTGTTATTTGCCCCCCTCTCTCCCTCTCTCTCTTTCCCTCTCTCCCCCCCTCTCTCTCTGTCTCGCTCTCTCCCTCTCTGTGTCTTTCTCTCTCTCTCTGTTATTTGCCCCTCTCGCTCTCCCCCCCTCTCTCTCTCTCTGTTATTTGCCCCTCTCGCTCTCCCCCCCTCTCTCTGTTATTTGCCCCTCTCGTTCTCCCCCCTCTCTCTCTCTGTTATTTGCCCCTCTCGCGCTCCCCCCCTCTCTCTCTCTCTCTCTCTGTTATTTGCCCCTCTCGCGCTCCCCCCCCCCCTCTCTCTCTTCTCTCTCTCTCTGTTATTTGCCCCTCTCGCTCTCCCCCCCCCTCTCTCTCTCTCTCTCTCTCTCTCTCTGTTATTTGCCCCTCTCGCTCTCCCCCCCTCTCTCTCTCTCTCTCTCTCTGTTATTTGCCCCTCTCGCTCTCCCCCCCCCCCCTCTCTCTCTCTCTCTCTGTTATTTGTGTATCTATTCACCCGTCCGTTTATCCGCCCACAAATAAATATTCGGGTCAATTCACTTTGCAGCGTGTCCTGCGAAGCGCTTTGAGACGTCCAGAAGACGTGTCGAGGGGCCATATCGAATCCAAGGACTATTATTAGATTATTATGATTCTTATTATCATATTTTTGTTATTATCCGCACGGCGGTTGACCGCTTTTAAGTCCTTCCCAAACTGACCGGGGCGGTGGGGGGGGGGCTCCGCAAAGCCGGTACAGTGTACCCTGGGAAGCGCTTTGTGACGTCTCAAAGGCGTGATCGGGCGCTGTAACAAACGTGAGGTTGATGATCATTATTATTATTATTAATATTATTATTATTATTAATATCATCGCGTAAACGTTTGCTGTTTCCCTTCCCTTCTGCCTCGCCAGGTTTTACCAGATTCGAGCCTCGTTGAAGATCCCGCCCCGTATCCCTCACAGAGTGACAGCAGCCCTGACAGGTGTGAGAGAGAGAGAGAGAGAGAGAGAGAGAGACACCCGCCCGACACACGCGACACGCACACCCGACACACCCGACACACACACACACACCCGACACACACGCACTGTCTACCGTGGAGTCCCTGTAGCCCAGTGGTTACAGCGCTCACGTCGCAAGCGACGGGGACCTGGGTTTGATTCCCGGACCCGGTCGAAGAGGAGGATCTTGAGACGGGGCTCGAAGAAGTCAAGGGATGGGGGGGGGGGGGCGAGGCGAGGGGACTGTGGGGTTTGGATGTCAACAGGAAGGTTGGTTGAGGCCAGGACGCTGGAGAATGGTTTCAGACCCGAGTTGGTGCTGGGCGGGTGGGTGGGTGGGTGGGTGGACTCTGGGAGAGCGTCAGTGAGTGAGTGAGTGAGTGAGTGAGTGAGTGAGGGGTGGGGGTGGGTTGTCTCGCTGTCTCTCGCTGTGTGTTTACCGGATGGTTTCCTTCCAGGGGAAGGTGGCCCTGGCTCCGCCTGTGTCCAGGACGGCTCGGTGCACAGCCAGACCTTCCAGATCCTCTACCGCAACGAGGAGGTGCCCATCAACACCCCCTGTCTCTTCCGTGTCCATCTCCTGCTGGACGGGGACAGAGTGAGTGATTGCACTGCAGCCTCAGCCCCGAGGATAGGGCAACCGGTCATGTTTTCCTACCTCTCCCTCCCTCCCTCCCTCCCTCCCTCCCTCCATCTCTCCCTCCCCCCCCTCCATCTCTCCCACTCTGGCTCACTCGCTCCCCCTCTACCTTCCTCCCACTCTCCCTCCATCTGTCCCTCCCTCCCACTCTCCCTCGTTCCATCTTTCCCACTCTCACTCACTCTCGACCTCTCTCCCTCCCACTCTCCCTCCCTCCCTCCCTCCCTCTCTCACTCTCTCCCTCAATCATTCACTCACTCACGCCAAAGCCAAAGCCCTTCCTGCCGGACCTGGAAGGGCAGACCGGTCACTGGGGGCGGGTGGTGGTGGTGGTGGTGGTGGTGGTGGGGGGTGGCGTTGGGCTCCCCCCGAAGCCTTGGCTCTCGCCAACCTGTTAAACCTCGGTCCGCGGCCTCTGTTGAGAACACTCGGGATCTACGGAGAGAGGAAAACGAGTCAACCCTTCGGGTCGACGGCCTTTCGCGAGGGTCGAGAGGTTCCTTGTAGAAGCGCTTTGAGGCGTCGCGAGGACCTGACGGAGGCGCTGTGCCGCGCGCAAAGGTAATTCGTGCGAACGTGATGGAAACCACCCGCGTGTTTAACCCTCGTCTCTCCGCAGGTGGAGGAGGCCTTGAACGAGGTGAACTTTGAGCTGAAGCTCGACTTGCACTTCACCGAATCCGAGCCTCAGTAAGTCTGAACAGAACAGCTCTCGGGGTGGGGAGGGGGTGTGGAGTGGGTGGGTGGGTGGGTGGGTGGGTGGGGGGACGGGGGCATCGGAGGGGGTGGTGTTGGGGCAACTTAACCCTAAGCTGCTGGAGTCCTGCGGTGTAGTGGTTACCTCGAGAGGGATTTGGTTTGGGAGGGCGAGGATGGGGCGGGTGAGGGCTCAGGACAGGACTAACCCGGCGGTGTCTCTCTCTCTCTCTCTCTCTCTCTCTCTCTCTCTCTCAGGCTGAACGAAGTGACCGGCGTCCCCCTGATCAGCAGTCGCCGGCTCAGCCTTCACTTCCACCCCCGGCGAGGGCTACACCATCACGTACCCGCCATGTTTGACTACTTCCACCTCTCCGTGATCTCCGTCACCGTCCACGCTGCCCTGGTCGCTCTGCACCAGCCTCTGATCAGGTTACCTGTGTCTTTCAAACCAAAAGCCTAACCCAACGCCCTCCGGGCCAGGGTGGTGGGGGGGGCGGTGGCGGGTGGAGGGGTGGGGGAGACGATAGGGTCACGGAGCCCCCCCCCCCGGTGCGGGAGAGAGAGAGAGAGAGAGAGAGAGGACGCGAGCCGCAGAGATCTGGATCATCTGCAGCTTGTGGAGGGAAGAGTCGGGGCTCGGCGGCGGCCGGAGGAGAGGGAGTTGAATTAACCGGGACCCCCGTTCTTTTCTCCGCTGCAGCTTCCCGCGGTTGGGGAAGGGGTCCTCCTGGCTGGGGAAGAGCGGTCAGGAGATGGAGGTCGAGGCGTCTCACCAGCCACTGTCCCTCGAAAACCTGGTGTTCGGCTCCGGTTACTACAAACAGCTGACAGTCGAGGTTCGTCGAAACCCCGTTCCCTTCCTCGCAATGTCAACCCTGCCGTCTGCTTTCGTTACGCGTCAGCCCGGCTCAGTGCGTGCGCGTGCGCGTGTGCGTGTGCGTGTGCGTGTGCGTGTGTGAGCCTGGCTCAGTGTGTGTGTGTGTGTGTGAGCCCGGCTCAGTGTGTTTGTGTGTGTGTGTGTGTGTGTGAGCCCGGCTCAGTGTGTGTGTGTGTGTGTGTGAGCCCGGCTCAGTGTGTGTGTGTGTGTGTGTGAGCCCGGCTCAGTGTGTGTGTGTGTGTGTGTGTGAGCCCGGCTCAGTGTGTGTGTGTGTGTGTGCCCGGCTCAGTGTGTGTGTGTCCGGCTCAGTGTGTGTGTGTGTGTGTGAGAACCCAGCTCAGTGTGTGTGTGTGTGTCCGGCTCAGTGTGTGTGTGTGTATGTGTGTGTGTGTGTGTGTGTGTGTCCGGCTCAGTGTGTGCGTGTGTGTATGTGAGCCCGGCTCAGTGTGTGCGTGTGTGTGTGTGAGCCCGGCTCAGTGTGTGCGTGTGCGTGTGTGTGTGAGCCCGGCTCAGTGTGTGTGCGTATGCGTGTGCGTGTGTGTGTGTGTGTGAGCCGGCTCAGTGTGTGTGTGTGTGTGTGTGTGTGCCCGGCTCAGTGTGTGTGTGTGTGTGTGTGTGTGTGAGCCCGGCTCAGTGTGTGTGTGTGTGTGTGTGTGTGTGTGAGCCCGGCTCAGTGTGTGTGTGTGGTGTGTGTGTGTGTGTCAGCCCGGCTCAGTGTGTGTGTGTGTGTGTGTGTGTGTGTGTGTCAGCCCGGCTCAGTGTGTGTGTGTGTGTGTGTGTGTGTGTATCAGCCCGGCTCTGTGTGTGTGTGTGTGTGTGTGTGTGGTGTGTGTGTGAGCCCGGCTCAGTGTGTGTGTGTGTGTGAGCCCGGCTCAGTGTGTGTGTGTGTGTGTGTGAGCCCGGCTCAGTGTGCGTGTGTGTGTGTGAGCCCGGCTCAGTGTGTGTGCGTATGCGTGTGCGTGTGTGTGTGTGTGTGAGCCCGGCTCAGTGTGTGTGTGTGTGTGTGTGAGCCCGGCTCAGTGTGTGTGTGTGTGTGTGTGTGAGCCCGGCTCAGTGTGTGTGTGTGTGTGTGTGTGTGTGTGAGAACCCGGCTCAGTGTGTGTGTGTGCGTGTGTGTGTGTGTGTCCGGCTCAGTGTGTGTGTGTGTGTGTGTGTGTGTGTGTGTGTGTATTAGCCCGGTCTGTGTGTGTGTGTGTGTGTGTGGTGTGTGTGTGTTAGCCCGGTCTGTGTGTGTGTGTGTGTGTGTGTGTGTTGTGTCAGCCCGGCTCAGTGTGGTGTGTGTGTGTGTGAGCCCGGCTCAGTGTGTGTGTGTGGCTGTGTGTGTGTGTGTGTGTGTGAGCCCGGCTCAGTGTGTGTGTGTGTGTGTGTGTGTGTGTGTGAGCCCGGCTCAGTGTGTGTGTGAGCCCGGCTCAGTGTGTGTGTGTGTGTGTGTGTGAGAACCCGGCTCAGTGTGTGTGTGTGTGTGTGTGTGTGAGCCCGGCTCAGTGTGTGTGTGTGTGTGTGTCCGGCTCAGTCGGTAGCACTCTTGGCTCTGAGTCGGACGGCTCAAGCCCCACGTCAGGAGTTCGAGCTCCCAGTCCGGGCCGACTCTCCGGCTCAGTGCTGTGGGATGCACTGCATTGCAGGAAGTGGGTTCGGAGGAGTGGCTGTTAAAAGATCCACTGGAAAAGAGAAGGGCGACTGTTTGTGGGACTGTTTGCGGGGACACTGCTGCGCCCAATTAATTGTCTGCCGCGTTTCACCCTCAAAACGCCCGGCCGACAATTCCCTGGACAAAGTTGCTCACTCCATTTTTAGCTCGGAACCCAACTGGGGATAGCTCCGTGCGGCAATTAGCGGATTCCTGGAGCTTCGTGGTTTGGAGCACTCGGCTCCCAAGAGAGAGAGAGAGAGGACTGACTTGGGTTCGATTCCCGGGCGGCGCGAAACCTCCGGCAAGTTTCCTGACTCCGCACGCCTCCGTTTACCCGGCAGTAACCAGGAACCCGGTCGTCCGTCGATGGGCGGATCGCTTTTCCGGGGGCAGTAACGCTCGCGGGGACACTCTCGTGCGGAATCGGCTGCCGCGTTTCACCCACAAGCTACAGGGTCGCTGTAATAATAATAATAATAACCCTTGCATTTGATATAGCGCTTTTCGCGTCGGGAGAGGACGTCCCAAAGCGCTTCACAGAACACACTGTAAAGTGAATTGACTGTATGTTTGTGGGCGAACGCGGCGGCCGATTGCGCACAGCGACGCCCCACAAACAGTCGTGGATTGAAAGTGATCAATTTTTTATTTTTTGGAGGGATTATTATTTGTACTTTACAACGTGTCCCGTGAAGAGCTTTGAGGCGCCACAACGGCGCGACAAAGCGCGGCATCGGACGCGGGGATTGCTCTGAAACCTCCGCGCTTCTGCGGTTTACGATTCCGCGCGATTTCCCTGCAGTTACCGCTCGTGCTGCTCAAGAGCAACGCGACACCACCGTTAAACCGTCGCGGCTGGAAGCCGCGATGAAACGCGGCGGCCAATTGCGCGTCAGCGGTGTCCCGCAAACAGTCGTGGATTCGAGTGACCAAATTATCATCATTATTATTTTTCAAATTTATTTTGAAGGGATTATTAGCCCCAGAAAACCAATCCGCCATTCAACGAACAACCAGGTTCCTACTTACTTCCGGGTAAACAGGCGTGTGGAGGAAACGAACTTGCCCAGGGTTTCGCCCCGCCCGGGAATCGAACCCAAGGTCCTCTCTCCCCCGCGAGGCGAGCGCTCCAACCCCTACACAATGAGACAAATGCAAGGATTATTATTATTATTATTATTATTATTATTATTACGGCTGTTCGCGGGACTTTGCTGTGTGTGCGAATCGCTGTGCAAATACACAGCCGCTGCACTGGACAATAGATCCTGTGAAGCACTCGGAGATGTTTTAGAGTTACAATCAGCACTGCCTTCGTTTGTGGGACTGTTTGCGGGGACACTGCTGCGCGCAATCAATTGGCTGCCGCGTTTCACCCTCAAAATACACAGTCAGTTCCTTGACAGTGTATCCTGCAAAGCCCTTTGAGAACGTCTGGAAGACATGATAAGGCGCTGTATCAAATGCGAGGATCATTATTATTATTATTATTAGTAGTAGTATTATTAATGCAGTGCCCCCAGCAACGTCTGGGTGCGTGCAAGGCAGCGTCGGAGGGAGAGTTTCATCGCGTGATCTATGGGCAGAGGAAAATTAACCTGGGAGAGCAATTAACGGAAGCATTGCGTGATTTACTCGAAGGAGTTTGGAGAGATAGGTACAGACAGCGGCTCCCGGAGAGCGAGTCACAGGCTTTCAACATCGCCAGGCGTTCAGACCGGTGACAGAGAGCCCGAGAGATAACCTGGGGATGAGTCGGAAGCTGGAGTTTAATGCAGACTTTCTGTCATTTTATGTTCGGGATGTGGACAGCGGGGAATCGGGATGACAGACCACACACGTTTACACAGCGTCACTCGGCTCCTGTTGCCCGCAGCTGGACAACCCCCGCAGGAAAGCTTGCCGGACAATATCAACGGCAAGCCGTGCTGCTTTAGTTGGTTCAGACTCCAGCCGTTACCCCCAACGCGCGCTCTGGGCTCCCCCCCGCCACACCCTCCTCTTGCCAACCTGCGCCTGATACTGCCCGGAATTAGGTGAGCGGGTGGTGGAGGGTGGGGGTGGGGGGGGGGGGTGTCCCTCCAGGGAGAGAGAGAGGGATTTCCAGGCGTAGGTGGGGACGCGGGGAATTCTCCGCTGGGTTTGGAGACTCTGAAGCCACGACGATGGGTTTGGTACGTGCGGAGTCAGGGAATTTGCCCAACGTTTGGCCCGGGTCCCTCTCGCTCTAACCACTGCGCGATGTGACTCCCTATTCCCCCCACCCCCCCCCCCACCCACCACCCCCTCCCACCCGCCTTATTCGCACCAAACCCAAACCCAACCCAGTCACACAGGGTTAGGCGTGTTGCGGCGCGTGCGTGTGCGTGTGCGTGTGCGTGTGCGCGTGCGTGTGCGCGTGTGCCAAAGCAAAGCCTCGGCTGATCAACCAGCAATCAAACAGACCCCCTGAGGAGCGGAGGCTTCAATTACAGTGTAAGGGACACGGGAAGCAAGTCTGATTAAAGACTGGCCCCAAGCACGCTCGTCTCTCTCTCTCTCTCTCTCGCTCTCTCTCTCTCGCTCTCTCTGTCGTTCCCACCGCGGCAGAAACAGACCGGACGAGGGTCCGGGTTCGATTCCCAGGTTCGAATAATCCCTCGAAGCGAAAATACACGTAACTTAAGACCAGAATAATTTGGTCGCGCGACCTCACGGCTGTTCGCGGGCCGCCGCTGCCGCGTCCCGCCGCCGTCGGAACGCCCAGTCACTCCGCTTCGCGAGCGTATCCCGCGAAGCGCTTCGGGAACGTCTCGAAGACGCGAGGAGGCGCCGCGATCGAATGCAAGAGATAGCGTTCCCGATAAAGCCTTGCGTTTCGCACGGCGCTCCCGTTGCCTGACGGGCGGGTGGCTCGATGCGGACGTGGAAAGCGTAGTGACTGTGTAGTGGTTTTTTTTTAAGGGAGACGCGGCAGCCAGTTTGCGACCCGGCAGTGTCCCGCCAGCAGCCGTGTCAGTTGTTCCGAGGTGCGGGCAAGATGGCGGAAGGGGAACCGGAGGGGCCTCTTTGGGTTTTCTTTCGGCAGCAAAGATTCTGACGTTGTTGCGTGTTGCGTGTTGCGTGTTGCAGGGCAGCCTGGTGAGCAGTGAGTGCTGCGTGCAACACGCCAGCCGATGGCACCAGAAGCTGTGCCACGCACTGCTGTCCGCCTACAGAGGGCTTCTCTCCTACTACGCGGCCATCCTGCAACACGTCCCAGCGCTGCAGCACGTCTCCCTGGGTAAGAGGAAGCCCGCGGGGCGTGTGGTTGTGTGTGTGCCCGCGCGCGCGCGTGCGTTTGTGAGTGAGTGTGTGCGTGTGCGCGCGCGCGCTCATGTTTGCGGGTGTGTGTGTGCGTGTGCGCGTGTGCGCACGTGTGTGGGTTTGTGAGTGTGTGCGTGTTTGTGTGCGCCCATGTGTGAAGGTGTACGTGCGTGTTTGTGTGTGCATGTGTGTGGATGTGATTGTGTACGCATGTGTGTTTGTGAATGTGTGCGCGCATGTTTGTGTGTGTGCGCATGTTTGTGTATGTGCGCATGTTTGTGTGTGCGCGCATGTTTGTGTGTGTGTGTGCGCATGTTTGTGTGCGTGCGCATGTTTGTGTATGTGCGCATGTTTGTGTGCGCGCGCATGTTTGTGCGTGTGTGTGTGTATGTGCACGTTTGCATCTGCGCGCGTGCAAGTGTGTGCACACATGTGGGTTTGTGAGTGTGCGCGTGTTTGTGTGTGTGCCCATGTGTGAAGGTGTGCGTGCGCACATTTGTGTGCGCGAGCATTTGTTCGCGCACGGTGTCTGTGTGCTGCGTGCGCGCGGGTGCACACGTGCGTTTGTGCGCACGCGTGTGTGTGTGTGTCGGGGGGGGGGGGGGGGGCGGGGGGTGGGGGGGGCGGAGGGGGACAGGGAATCCTCCCCACTCAGCTCCTGTTAGCCCTGCAACCCAAAGCCCTCACTCACTCACTCACTCACTCACACTCACTCACTAGACTCCCCAGCAGTTACCCCAACGCACCGCGCTCTGGGCAAACCCCCCCCAACCCCCCCCCCCAACCCAACCCCCACAACCCCCCCCCACCCCCCACCCCCAAACCTCAGCTCTTACGACTGTGCCTTGTGGGGGAGAGAGAGAGAGAGAGAGAGAGAGACACAAGATTTCCAATTTGGTTTGGACGCTCTGTGGATTCTTCGTGGGTTCTTGTGTGTGTCGGACACCCCCCAGTGATAATAATAATAATTGCACAGTCACTACGCTTTGACAGCATCTTCCAGCCGAGCGCTTTGAGACCTCTCGAAGGCGCGACGGGGCGCTGCATCGAACGCAAGGGGTATTATGATGAATTATTGGGATGGTGGTTAATTATTATCGTTCCTGATTATGGTGAGAGCAGCGCGTGCGTTGCAACAGAAGCCGCGGCGCTGTGTGGGCCTTCGCGTATAAAGCTCTCACGTGCGTCTGTTTCAAACCTCCCAACAGAAGCCGGTAGCGTGGAGGAGACGCTCGGCGTGTTGTGCGCTAACCTGCAGGTGAGGGGGGGGAGAGGACGTTCGTTTCGTATCCTCCGCTGCCTTTGCTCTCCCGGCGGACAGGAAAGATTCCCGGGGCGCGATCGGACACGACAAGGATCCCCCCCCACCCACCCACCCACCCCCCCACCGCGCGCTCCCCCCCCCCCACCGCATAGCCTTCCCCTGCGTCCGCTTCCCGCCCGCAAAAAACACACGGTCACTCCGCTTTTACTAACTCCTGTACCTACGTTCCCATGTTCCGAGTTTCCTGCGTCCCACGGTTTCCGTGTTCCGCGCGTCGTCACGTTCCTGCGTTTCACGCGTGTCCGCGCGTCCGCGCCCGCGCCGGCGTCGCTTCCCGGCCGGACTGTTCCCAACGCCCTCCTCGCCCTCCATTTTCCCCCCAAAATGCCCGGTCGATTCGCTTCGACGGTGTGCGTTTCCCGTGAGGCGCTTTGAGACGGCTCGAAGCCGTGACCAGGCGCTGTGTCAGACGCGAGGATTATTATTATCATTATTATTGCTGTCGATAACATTATTATCGTCCGGGATCCCTTGCAGGGGCTGAGCAGCCCGGAGAAGATGGCGGAGCAGATCAGCAGGGACCTGGAGCAGCTCTGCTCCTACCTCACCACCCTCTGGACCCGGTTCCTGGAGAGCGTGACCCTGCAGCCCGAAGTGACGGCCTTCCTGAGCCAAGAACACCACACGCTCCGGGTAATCCCATCGCCCCACGCCCTCGCCAGGCTCCACTGGCTCTCTATCCCACACTAAACCCCGTACCCCCATTGTCCCACGCCCTCGCCAGCCTCCACTGGCTCTCTGTCCCACACTAAACCCCGTACCCCCATTGCCCCATGCCCTCGCCAGGCTCCACTGGCTCCCTACCGCACACTAAACTCCATACTCCCATCGCCCCACGCCCTCGCCAGCCTCCACTGGCTCCCTACCGGACACTAAACCCCGTACCCCCATCGCCCCACGCCCTCGCCAGGCTCCACTGGCTCCCTACCGACACTAAACTCCGTACCCCCATCGCCCCACGCCCTCGCCAGGCTCCACTGGCTCTCTATCCCACACTAAACCCCGTACCCCCATCGCCCCACGCCCTCGCCAGGCTCCACTGGCTCCCTATCACCTCTCCTTCCCGATTCCCAAGCCCCAGCTCGGGTCCAATTGTCTGACTGCCCAGCGGCCGGTGGCTGGGATCACCGCCCGCCGTAAGGTTGTGGCCTTTATTTTGTCCTGTAGGTGAAGAGATTCTCGGAGGCTTTTTTCTACATGGAACACGAGAAGGAAACCGCTCTCACTTTCCAGGAACAGCTGTGAGTTTTAACCTCCGAGGGCGCCCAGCGACGAGGGGTCTTGACAGGGTGGGCGAAGCACAGCAGCCGATTGCGCCCGACGGTGTCCGACAAACAGTCGTGGATTGAGTGACCGAATTATTATTATTATTATCCTTTTTTGAAGGGATTATCACCCCCGGAAAAGCGATCCACCGATCGACTAATAACCGGGTTCCTACTCACTGCCGGGTAAACAGAGGCGTGCGGAGTAAAGAAACTTGCCCAACGTTTCGCCCCCTATAATTAGCCACTCTAAAGAGAGAGCGACAGATAGGAACTGGTTTCGGACGGTAACTCTCCTGTGAACGACTGTAACTATAAACAGAGATGAACGTCGACGCTATTTCCGACACCTCACCTATGTTGGCAGCAGCGACGAGGCTGGGCGTAGAAATGTGGTCACCCGTAAATCGGTCCGTACCCAAATTCCCATTACTAGCCTCGCCCCTGGGACAGAGAGGGTCAGACTTCCCCCTCAGCTCCTGTTAACACCGCAGCAAAAGCCCTAACTGATTAACTAACGGGGAGGGTGGTCCTAGAGGACAAGTAGTGGGAAAACTTGGCCAGACAGCGCTCTCGATGGCCGAGCTGTGGGTATAGCTGGTTAGACTCCAGCAGTTACCCCAACGCACACTCCCCCCCCCCCCCCCCCCCACCCACCAAGGCTTGGCTCTCGCCAACCTGCGTCTAAGACT